AGGGAGATGAGCTAAACGGGTAAGGGGCATTAAGGAATCTACTCCTGAAATCATTGTTTCACTATATGCTAATTTGGGTGTAAATTTTAAAAAATAAAAAATTTTACCAAAAAATAAAAAGAAATAAGTAAAAGAAAAAAAAAGTACTGACAGTACTGTACTGTAAGTAAGTACTATAAGTACTGTAAGTTAAGTACAACTTACTAGTTACTAGATATTTTATTTCAGGTACTACAGATATGGTGGCAAACAAGATCTTTCAGGCCACAGCCTTCAAGAGGCTCTCAAATAAACTAATGAATAAAACAGATCATTTCAACTTTGGGTGAGTTCTAGGAAGAAAATTAAAAGAGAATATAATAAAGCGGCCAGCAGAGGAGGCTCTTTGAGGGGAGAACTAATAGAGAAGCATCAAGGTAAAGAGCCCAGGAAAACATTTCAGGTAGAGGAAACAATAAGTGCAAAAGCCCCAAAGAGGAAACAGTCTGAGGAACTAAAAGGCCATTATGGCTCAAGCCAAGTGAGTAAGGGGGAAGGAGGGCACAAAACAAATTTCAACAGTTGGGCAACAGTCCTATCATGCAGTGCCTTTGGAGGCCATAGAGAAAAAGAATTTGAATTTTCAACTTTATCAATAAAATCCTAAACAAAGCTTTTAAATTGTATGTTTCTTTAAGTTAAATTTCAAAAAGATTGTGATTTCTTCAAAAACTGAATAATCATTTAAATTAGCCTACAGTAAAAACTGAATACAGGGGCACCTGGGTGGCTCGGTCAGTTAAGCATCTGTCTTTGGCTCAGGTCATGATCTTACAGTTCATGAGTTCAAGCCCCGCATTGGACTCTGTGCTGACAACTCACAGCCTAGAGCCTTCAGATTCTGTGTCTCTCTCTCTCTGCCCCTCCACTGCTCACACTCTTACTCTCTCTCTCTCAAAAATGAATAAACTTTGAAAAAAAAAATTTTTTTAATGAATATAAAAAATAAAACTAGGGGTGCCTGGGTGGCTTAGGCTTAGAGAGAGAGCATTCTCTCTCTCAAAAATAAATAAAAAACATTAAATAAAAAATAAATAAAAACTAAAAATTTAAAAAAAAGATTTGTTTTTGTAACTTGTCAAATTCAGTGTTAAACAAGAATAGTCAAAAACATTCTGAAAAATTAGGATGAAAGGAGACTAGCCCTACTCGGCATTAAAACGTAAAGTTTTACTGATACATGAATAGAGCAATAGAAGGGAATAAAACATATAGGGAAACTCAGAACACAGTAAATGACAAAATTTCAAATCAGTGTGGATAAACCAGATTATTCACTAAATGATGTTGAGATAACGGAATAGCAATCCTGAAAAAAGCTGAAGCCATACCTCACATGTAACAAGTGATTAGATTCTAAATGGATCATGAATTTAATTGTAGTCATAAAAAAAAAAAAAAATCACTCTGTGAAAAACCATTCGTTTACATAGAAAATATTCATATTATACTTCTAAATTTAAAAAGTTGCCTAAAAAGCAGGACTTAAAAATATATATGCATGTGAGTATATAGTAATTATCTCTGGATGGTGGGATTATAAGCACTATGCTTCCTTTTATAAATTTTGCAAATTTTTTTGTGGTGAGCATGTAATATTTTTATAATCAGGGGAATAAAAGTACCAACACAAACAAACAAACCAAATGAACAATAATCCCAAGCCGGGGCTCTAAAATCTAACAGACTAGAATTTACTCTAGTGAACGAAAATGATACTTACCTTCTTCTATCTTTAGATACTCCTGTTCAGCCTGTGAAGCAAAGATGGCAGACAACACTGAATAAACAGAGGCTAGCACAGTTTTCTGTTCTTGAAGTATGATGGGTGGATCATCAGATTGGCAAAATTCATGGCAGACCAGGTCAAAAAGTAAATTCCAAGTGTCTTTTCCTGTAGCAGGACACTGTACTTAATAGAAATGATAAAAAAAAAAAAAAAGTAGTTATATAAAAACAAAACAATTCAATGAGTAATTCCTGTGCTTCCCTATAAAACACCTTACCAATAGCTTGAATTCCATCATCCACTGTGGTAAGCAGCTGTAAGATATGCATGTAAACATCGAGCCCTTCTGGATTTTCAGAACTAAATTCAAAAAACAAAAACACTGAATCAACAACTCTGTGGGACTGCATTCATTCATTCATTCAACAAATACTTATCACTCTGTACTAGTCATTGTCCCAGGTGCTAAGGATAAAACAAGAAAAGGGCGAAGTCTTGGTGCTCACCAGAGCTTACATGTTAATGGCAAAAACAGTCAAAAAACAAAGAGATACTATGGAATATAATCAACACTCGAGAATGAGAAGTAAAAATTCCTTTTGGCCCTGTCCCACAAAAGCAACAATGCAGAAACCTTTGAGGTGATACTTTATCATTCTGGTTTACTTAAATAATCAGGACGAAAAATGACTGAAACTTTTATAGAATGAACGATAGGCCCACTGCAGCAAGCAAGCATCAACAGTAACAATGTCCTGCAAACTTCAGAGGACTCCCCTAGCTCCCTTAGCTGAGAATACTAAAAGCACGTAAGTATAATTTTTGTGATCAACAGTTTGGATTCCTGGAAGCTCACAATCTTAGTTCTTCAAATGATTAAGTGAAAATATAGTGAACAATAAAAAAGAAGGCTCATATTTAAGTACCTACTACTTTCAGGCACTATGTTAGCAGATGGGAAAACAGAGACGTGTAAAACGTTGTATCTTCACAAAGTTTACAGTCTAAAGAAAAGAAGATAATTAAAGGAGCGATCATGACAAAATGATAGGACTGTAACACTAAAGGAAGTCTAAGGTACCAGAGAACCACATGGCAAGCAGTATTAACTAAGTTTAGAGAGTTGAGAAAGGCATCTTAAGAGAAATGATATTTATGGGCCGACTGGGTGGCTCAGTTGGTTGAGCATCTGACTTCGACTCAGGTCATGATCTCACAGTTCGGGAGTTCGAGCTCTGCGTCGGGCTCTGTGCTGACAGCTCAGAGCCTGGAGCCTGCTTCGGATTTTGTGTATCCCTCTCTCTCTGCCCCTCCCCTGCTCATGCTCTCTCTCTCTCTCTCAAAAATAAAAAATAAACATTAAAAAAAAGAGAGAGAAATGATATTTAAGCACAGACATGAAAGAGAAATGTTTGAGGTAAAAGAGACATGGTACACAAAGGCTTGAAGGCCAAGAGAGGTTGGTTCCCTTGATGAAAGAAACTTCACATGGTTGATACACACAGAACAAGTAATAAGGATGGGGAGGCACTGCAGAGCCTTGTAAGCCATGCTTGTTAAAAACCTGGACCTTGGAGCACCTGGGTGGCTCAGTCAGTTGAACATCTGACTTTTGATTTCAGCTCAGGTCATGATCCCAGGGATGTTGATCAAGCCCCTCATCAGGCTCCATGCTAAATGTGGACCCTGCTTACGATTTTCTCTCTCTCTACCCGTCTCCCTGCCTCCCCCCCACTCCTCCCCAACTTGCTCAAGCATTTGCATGCTCTCTCTATAAAAAAAAAAATTTGGACCTCATCCTAAGGAAGACAATGGAAGAGTTTGAAGCACGTGAGTGAGATGATGAGTATGTGTATTGGAAAGATGGTTCTAGAGTCTAGGCTTGGAAGGAGCAGCCTTGAGGTAGGGAACTCAGGTGAGAGAATGCCATAGGTGTCTAGCTGAGAGACAGTGGCCTGAACGATGACTTTAAGAAAACACAGGTAGATCATAAAGACATGGTGTTGAACAAAAGAACTAAGACTCAAAAGAATACATACGGTATAGTTTTTTTCACAAGAAACTCAGAGCCAAAATATATGGAATAATAAAACTATAAAGCAAAGAAATAATTGCTGAAAAAGTCCAGAAAGTAGTCATTTCTAAGTGAGAAAGAGAATTGGGATTTGGAAGGGACACACAGGGGCCACGGAGATGAGGCCCTGTTTTCTGTAAACGTAAGTGTTTGCTTCGTAATTATTCATTAAGTATAAATTTGTTTTTATAGGCTTTCTTGTATATATACCATACTTCACAATGAAAGTGTTGAAAAAATTAAATGAAAACTCTACTTTGATATTTGACATTGAGAATAGTGAGGAAGCAGGTTTGGAGAAAAGATGTTAAGTTTAATCCACCTGGATAAAGGACATAAAAGATTTTAGGTGGGTTATTAACCACCAACGTTATACGACTGAACATTAAGCAGATCAATTCACAAGTTAATTTTCTAGTGACTAGCAAGAAACAGTTTCAATGACCTACAACACCTAGTAATCACTCCTGGCAAGACATCAGAGCCCAAAATTCAGTCACTTATCTAAGACTGACATATAAACGTAAGAAGCAAGAAAACAAATGACGTCTGACGTTAACTGAAAAAGTTGTTAAATGTTTAATGGAAAATAAAACACCAGAAAATCTTTCCTATTTGACTTAAATTACACAAAATTGCAGAAGATTTTAAGACCATAACCATAATTAATGCTGGAAAATAGCCTATAGCTAACTAATATTAGAATAGGTACTTTGTAACCATTATGATTCTTAAAAAGAGCAAACACAGGGTTACCACAAAGATTAGTAGTGAATCCAACCTGACAAAGACTGATGGGGTGCTATTCATCCTGTCAAAAAGAAACTAAAACTTACATCTATGGATATTTCCAGCAATTGGATTTTCCCAAAACATTTTGCACAAAAAGCTCGCTTACCGTACTTGTTTGGCAGCTTCAAGTACACAGGGCACAATTTTAAACACTGGCTGCTCTTCAGCATCTTCCTGGGGTTGGTCCAGAGGCTGAACAGCCCCATTTCTAATCCATTCCAACATTAGCTTCTCGTCCAAATCAAAAAGTTTGTCCACAACTTCCCCTATTTTCACCAGCAAGTCAACTGCAGACGATAAAATAGTTATTGAAATGAGAAGCAAAATTTTAAAAGCAGTAAGGTTAGGGGTGCCTGGGTGGCTCAGTTGGTCAAGTGTCCGACTTTGGCTCAGGTCATGATCTCGTAGCTCGTGGGTTTGAAACCCCCAATGGGATCTGTGCTGACAGTTCAGAGCCTGGAGCCTGCTTCAGATTCTGTGTCTCTGTCTCTCTGCACCTCCCCTGCTCACACTCTCTCTTTTTCTCTCAAAAGCAAATAAACATAAAAAAAAAAAAAAAAATTAAAAAGCAGTAAGGTTAACCAACATTCCTAAAGCTATTCCAAGAAAACCAAATCTTACCAAAGTATTACTTATTAAGGGAGATTTATTCACCTCCTTTGTTTAAATTTGTCTTCCTTTTTTTGTTTTTTGAGTGAGACAGAGAAGGCTCAAGTGAGGAGACAGAGAATCACACAACGGCCACAGAGAGAGAGAGAGAGAGAGAGAGAAGGGGGGGAGGGGGGAGAGGGAGAGGGAGAGGGAGAGAGGGAGAGAGAGGGGGAGAGAGAGAGAGAGAGAGAGAGAGGGAGAGAGAGAGAGAGAGAGAAGCAGGGTTCACCCAAAGCGGGGCTTGAGCTCATCCTAAGTGGGGCTCAAGCTCACCTGATGTGGGGCTCGAACTCACAAACTGTGAGATCATGACCTGAGCCAAAGTCAGCTCAGCTTAATGATGAAGCCACCCAGGTGACCTCTTCCTTCATTTTTAAATGTGGGACTGATCAGTATCCTGGCAGCTTAAGAAGAAATTTTATATCTTGAATCGAAATACTTTTTCACCTGACACTAGATGTATTTTTTTAAGCAACCTCCAGAAATAGTTACATGGCTTCCTAACAATTAAATAGAACCAAAAATTTTTCCAAGATTACATGGTGACTTACCATTTGTTGAACTTGACATAATGAAACAAATACTATCATAAATAGCTGGATATTCCCGGATTCTTTCAACCCAGACACTGGCCACTTCTGTCTGGGAAAGACAAGTAAGCAACAACCTACAAAATAAATGTGAACTTAGTATCTATTTTGAAAAACATTAAAGGAAATTCAAGAATGAAGAATTAACTCTATTGTCCAAGATTCCTGTATGAATGAGCATATAGAATACATAGAAAGAAGAAAGCATACCGGCTTGTTTCCAGCAGAGTAGGAGGGTCTGAATCATACAAACAGTGCAGTAACACCTGTCTATAAAAACAAAAAAGTTAACCCAATATGCATCATTTCTCTCATTTCAAATATCAAGGTAGGGTTTTCATTTAATTTTTTTCAACATTTTCATTGTGTAGTACATATAAAAGAAGGCCTATAAATACAAATTTATACTTAATGAATAATTACAAAGCAAACACTTATGTTTACAGAAAACAGAACAGTGTCTCATCTCCATGGCTCCTGTGTGTCCCTTCCAAATCCCAATTCTCTTTCTCACTTAGAAATGACTACTTTCTGGACTTTTTCAGCAATTATTTCTTTGTTTTACTCTATAGTATTATTCCATATATTTTGGCTTTAAGTTTTTTGTGAAAAAAATTATACTATATATATTCTTTGAGTCTAGTTCTTTTGTTCAACACCATGTCTTTAAGATCTACCCATGTTTTCCTACAGCGATCGTTCTTTGATTCACTGCTGCAGAACATTCCATCATATGAATATAAAACAATTTATGTTTCTAGCCTACTACTGATGGATATATGGATTAATTCCACTTAGGGCCACTTCAAGTAATACTCCTGTAACACTTCTCCTCTGATGTACATGTGCACGGTTTATCCTACCATATACACGAGTGGGATTGCTTGGTCACAACATCTGCGTTGCTTATCTTCCAACTTGACTAAATAATGCCCAACTGTTCTAAAGTGGCTGAACAAATTTATATCCTATCACCAAAGTAAATTGTTTCATATTATTATTTTTTTTTTTCAACGTTTTATTTTATTTTTGGGACAGAGA